CATCCATCCATCCATCCATCTATATATGCCCACTTATCTAAAATGTCCAGAATAGCTAACTCTATGGAGATAAAAAGTGCATTAAAGGTTGCCTGGAATGGGAAGAGGAGGAGCCTGGAGAATGTAAGAACCAATTTGAGGAAGGCCTTTTTAGGGGAGTAAAAAGTGTCTAAAACTGAAAGCCAGCTATGATAACTCACACTTGCAAGCCCAGCACTTGGAAGGCTGAGGCAGGAAGAATGTGGAAAGTTCCAGGGCAGCCTGGTCCAGAGTGAGAGACCATGTCTTAAACCAAATAGTTTAAAACTGACTGTAACACTGGCTGTTCTGAGAAGGCTGTGGCAGGACAGCCTCGTGAATCTGAAGCCAGCCTGCACACCACAGGGACCACCTGTTTCAGAAGAAAAGAAAACTGGACACTATGACCAAGTAAATATATTTTCAGCTATCAGTCGGAGCCCCCATCTTCCAGTCACTTGTGAGAATGTCAAACACAAAGGGAAAGGTGGCAGGCACTAATGTTTTTCTCCAGGCCTTTCAGGAAGTGCAGAGTTGCTCCCTTGGCCACTTACATGGGAATGTACAAACAGGGAGGCTGTGCAGACATCAAAGGGATGGAAGTGCTCAAAAAGGAACACCCCACAAAAGTTACCATGGCAAAACTGGAAGAGTCTACAATGTCACCCAGCATGCTGTTGGCACTGCTACAAACAAGCAAGCTCTGGGCAGGGCTGTTGCCAGGAGAATTAACGTACGGAGTGAGCGTATGATGCACTCTAAAAGCTGACGGCTTCCTGAACCGGGTGCGGGAAAATGATCAGAGGAAGAAGGAAGCCAAAAAAAAAAAAAAAAAAGAAAAGAAAAAGGTTCCTGGGTTCAATGGACATGCCAGTCTGCTTCCCCCAGAGAGCTACAAATGGAAAGGAGCCAAGCTGACCAACTCCCCGTGAATTCAGGTTTTTAGATATAAAAATAAAAGGGAAAGAACTCTAGACTGGAGAAGAAGTAGTTGAGTGTATGAAAATAAATCAATGTAGCAAACAGCTCATCCGATAGGACACAGCGCTTTCCACCAGCGGAGTCGCCACGCCCACGCCGGGACAGAACGAAGGGGAGTGCTCTGCGCGCACAACTAAGGGAACAGAGAAAAGCTAGTAAAGCTAGTGCTGCTGTCACTGTCACACAGCAGACCGGAAAGCTCCCCAGGTCAGGAACAATGCCAGGACGCCTGCTTCACCACTGCCGCGCAAACTTACTACTTGGTCATGACCAACTGAAGCTCCATTCCACAAAGGAGCTGAAGCACCACTGGGTCTAAGGCAAGGGAGCCAATCACTGTTCTCTGGCCCCAAAAAGTCAGAGGTGCCCACACTGAAAGGGAAGCAATGAGACTATACTTGCAGGAATCAAGATCCTACATAGTGAAAAGTCACAGAAGAATCCAAAAAATCTGGGCTATAACTCAGCTGGTGTATGTATGTATGTATGTGTGCATGTGTGTATATACATATACACACATATATACATACATATATGTAATATTAATAATATAGTAACCTTAATCAGTGATCAGTTAGTGATTTTAATTGCTGAGCCATCTCTCCAGCCCTCCATATACATATTAAGATTAATTAAGATCACTGGCTGCTCTTCCAGAGAACCCAAGTTCGATCCTCAGCACCACATGGCATCTTACAATGGTAAGAAACTCCAGTTCCAGTGGGCCCAGCATGGACATGGTACACAGGCATGCATGCAGCCAAAATACACATAAAATGTGAATTTTCAAAAGAAATTGGTTTGTGGCTTTCTGAGACAGGGTTTCTCTCTGTAGCCCTCCCTGGTTGTCCTGGAACTCACTTATAGACTGGGCTAGCCTCAAACTCAATGTGCCAGCCTCTGCCTCCCAATTGCTGGTATTAAAGACATGTGCCACCATGCCTGGCTGAATATAAATATTCTTCAAAAAAGAAAAATAAAAAATTCTGTACTGGTTAGTTTCCTGTAAACATGACACAAACTAGGGTCATCTGGGAACCTAAATTGAGAAAAAAAAAAACAAAAACAAAACAAAAAAAACGCTTCCACCCAGACTACGGGCAGTGTTCTTAATTAACCATAGATGGGGGAGGGCCCATCCCACGGCAGGCTGTGCCACCCTGGGCAGGGGGTCAGGCTCAGCAAGCGGAAGGAAGCAGGCTAGAAAGTAGCATTACTCCCTGGCCCCCACTTCAGCTCCTGCTCTGACGTCCTTTCATGATGGACTGCGACTCTAAGCTGAAATAAATCCTTTCCTTCCTAAATTGCTCGCTTGTGGCCTTTATCACAGCAACAGAAAGTAAACTAAGGACTGGAGACATGGCTCGTGCTGCTCTTCCAAAGGATCTGAGTTCAGTTCCCAACACCCATATCAGGTGGCTCACAACTGTCTGTAACTCCAGGTCCTGAGGAATCTGATGCCTCCAAGGGTACCTGCACTCCTGTGAACACTGCCCCCACACAACTAAAAATAACTTTTAAAAAATCTTCAAAAAACAAAATATTTTTAAAAGAGAAAGAAGGAAAACAAACTGAGGCAAATTCCATTCAGCGGGAGCTGTGGAGCTGACTCAGCAGGTAAAGGGCTTGCCACACAACAATGAGGACCCGAGTGTGCGTCTCCAGTGTGCACATAAAAAGCCCGCACCAGGGCATGCCTGCAATTCCTACAATCTTGCGGGCAGAGACAGGAGGGTCCTAGAGCTTGCTGGCTAGACAACCACCTGGCCTAATTTATGTTTATTATTTCAAGTATGACTTTAGTATCCAAGATATATAAACAACTCTTATAATTCAATAAGAGAGCAATGAGCCCATGTTTTAAAGAGGTCAAGGACCTGGACAGCTATTGCGCCAAAGATAACCAAGCACAGCCAGGTGGTGGTGGCACACGCATTTAATCCCAGCACTCAAGAGGCAAAGGCAAGCTGATCTCTGTGAGTTTAAAGCCAGCCTGGTCTACAGGGTGAGTTCCAGGACAGCCAGGACTACACAGAGAAACCCTGTCTTGTGGGGGCAGGGGGCAGAAAAAAAGCTAGAACAAGCACATTAAGGCTCTCCATCCACATCTTGGGCACTGAGGAAAATGCAAACTGGAACTATGATAAAGCAAAACAAATCAAAAACCAGGAGTAGCAGCATTTAAGAGATGCCCAGGAGAATCAGAAGTTCAAAGTTATACTGGACTAAAAGAGACTGTCTCAAAAAAAAAAAAAAAAAAAAAAAAAAAAAGGATTGGAAAACATGTATCCAAAATATTATACATTTTGTTCTGATTGATATCAACTCACAACTGCCAAAAGAAAGAAATAACTCCCAATAGCTGGGTGGTGGCACACGCCTTTAATCCCAGCACACAGAAGGCAGAGGCAGAGGCAGGCGGATCTGTGTGAGTTCGAGCCCAGCCTGGTCTCCAGAGCGAGTGCCAGGACAGCCTCCAAAGCCACAGAGAAACCCTGTCTCGAAAAGCCAAAAAAAAAAAAAAAAAAAAAGGACTCCAATGTATATTCAAAGAATGAGTTTTTTAAAATGTTCAGTACCCATCACTTATTTGGCTAGAAAAAGGAAGAAGAGGCTGAAGAGATGGCTCGGTGGTTAAAAAGTGCTTCCCACTCTTGCAGAAGACCCAGATAGGTTCCTAGCACCCACACTGGTCAGCTCACCTCTCCTGTGACTGCAGCTCTGCAGGATCTGATGTCCCCTCCTGGCCTCCGAATACCACATACACAAGCATGCCTACATACATACAACTACACAACTACACACACATAGAAAACATGCATGCCTACATACATACAACCAGCCAACTACACACACATAGAAAACATGCATGCCTACATACATACAACCAGCCAACTACACACACATAGAAAACATGCATGCCTACATACATACAACCAGCCAACTACACACACATAGAAAACATGCATGCCTACATACATACAACCAGCCAACTACACACACATAGAAAACATGCATGCCTACATACATACAACCAGCCAACTACACACACATAGAAAACATGCATGCCTACATACATACAACCAGCCAACTACACACACATAGAAAACATGCATGCCTACATACATACAACTACACAACTACACACACATAGAAAACATGCATGCCTACATACATACAACTACACAACTACACACACATAGAAAACATGCATGCCTACATACATACAACTACACAACTACACACACATAGAAAACATGCATGCCTACATACATACAACCAGCCAACTACACACACATAGAAAACATGCATGCCTACATACATACAACTACACAACTACACATACCTAGAAAACATATCTTATACAGAAGGACTGAAGCACTGACATAGGCATAACCCAGATAACCACTCTGCCAACTAGTTCATGATCCCAGCGCTGTAAAGTGTCTAGAGCAGGTGAGCCCATAAAAGTGGGAAGCACTGTTGCTGGCCAGTGCTGAGAAGAGTGGGTTCAAGGCGTTCCTGCGGGCGATGAAGTATCCGGGAACTTTAGAGAAGCAGTGGTCACCTAACACCAGGAATGTATTAAAGGTCACTCGATTATACAAGTTAGAAAGGGTTATTTCATAAGATGGAAATTTCACCTCGATTGAAAAAAAGAAAAATGTTAGAAAAAGCTGGGGCTGTAGCTTAAGAGCACCTGCTTAGCACGCACAAGACCCTGGACTGGGATCCGCAACACCAACCCTTTAAAAAGGAAAACCAAAACCAAAACCAGGAAGGAACAGCAACAAGAAATACTCTAAGCAGCAGCAGCCAGAGCTTGGGTGGGACGCAGGATGCTGCAGACTGTCCTGCTGTTTCCTTATGTGGATACTGGCAGGGGTGAGTTAATGAGCCAGCCCTCATCTGTGGTGTTCCACACTTTAGCAACAAGAACCTACAGGGAAAGGAAAAAAGCAACCTCACAGTCTCATCCTCACAGTCAAATGAGAAAACGGAGTCCGAGAGGCTCGCTTCTGTGCAAGAATCACAGGACTGGCTCTCTGAGACGGCTGGCACTGGAATCCAGAGCTCACCCCCGACCACAATGCTGTCTGCCTCCACGCCAGCAGGGGAGAGAGACAGACAGCTCCACTACCAGTGGTGGAGATGGCCAAAGCCAAGTGACAAACAGGATCTGATGGCAGTCAGACATCAGTCAGTCACACCCCCAGACCCTGCTGGTAAGAAAGAGGCATCACACATGCAGGCCAGGCCTTAAGCCCAGGCAAGTTGGTATCACAGGGCCAGGGTCCCTCTTAGCTCTGCTGCCTTGTGCAAGGCCCCTGGCAATCATTTTGCTGCTGGTCTGCCCTGAGAGGGCATTGGCGAAAACTCAACAACACAGGTTACCTGGGGCAGAGCCTGAGACCTGGCAGACTGGGAGGAAACCAGTGCAATGATTATTTTAACCAGCAGGATGGGAATGGGTTAGCACAGATGCCCAGATATCAGGGGGCAGCGGGGCCCTCTTTCTGCCAGCCACTACTCAGATGACCACAAGAGTACACCTGTGTGCATACACATTGTGTATTCAAGGCAGGCGAGCCAGACAAAAGACAAGGACAGGCCAGCAGCCAATTCAACTCAGCCCTTACCACACAAACACAGACATAAGGCCCCCAAAGGAGCCAGAGCCAAGACTCATTCTGTCAGCCAAGTCTGGGCTAGAGAAAAACCCCCCCACCATTCAAAGGTCCTAAGACCTTAATTCAGTGAGTGTAGGGAAACTCCAGCCAAGGGACAGGAGTCCAACAGCCCGGCACACCCAGCACAGTTGCCATTGCATACAATACCAATCATTCATTCAGCCGTTGTTGGCTGAACACCTACTATATGTCAGCCATGTCTTGAGGCAATCAAGACAGCATAGTAAATATACCACATGAAAATCCTGCTTAAAGGGGGTTGATTGACCTCCGACGCCTGGATTGTTAGCTCATCTCACAGACTCAGCACCCAGCATAGGAGGTCACATCTGTAATCTCAGTTCTGGGGAGGATGGGGCAGGAAGATAAGTGCAACACTGACATCAGCCTGCGATACAAAAAAGCAAACAAACAAAGGCCCAAGACAGGTGGTGTGGTGTGTGTGGCTTACCCACTGGCACAGCAAAAGGAAGTGGCAGCGCCAAGGCCCCCTGTCAGGTGTCAATGTGGATGGTTGCATTTGACAGTCTGAGGGGCTGGAGTGCCACAAATGCCACCTGCAGTGAGGGCAGCAGGAAATGGGGTTTCCTCTGCTGCTGTGCGGGCTCTAAGGAGCAGCCCGCTCGCCCGCTCGCTCCATGTGACTGCTGGCGTCTGTGGCCAGGGATGGCAGGACAGGCTCTCACCAGCTGTCTGTCATGCAAATGTGCCCCTCTCACTCCCCTCAGGGTGCCCTGATTGTCCTGCAACCCACATGCCACTGCCTGTGAACCATGGGACCCTCTGCTCCTCCAGGAAGCCACCACCAACCACCGAGGCAGCACGGCTTCCCAGTGTAAGCCTCAAACCCACCTTCCTCTCATTTTCTCCTCACAGTATAGGCCACCACTGGATACACGCTCTCCCTGGACACCTAACCTCCCCTAGGATGTCACACGTCACCACGAAGATGGGATCGCTGACTGTGTCTCTGAGACCTAGAATAGCTCCCACTGTTCTCAGAGCCCCCTAGAACAGCTCCCGCTGTTCTCAGGGCCGTTCTCTGAGCTAAGCCCCGAGTGAATGGAAGTGTCTGTGGACCAGTTTCTTCCGGCCTGGCACCCTTCCTGTCCAGGAGAAGGTCCCTGAAGGCCAGCAGTGACAAAGCCAACTCTCAGCACATGCCGCTTCCTTATCTGACTCCTACTGTCACATGCCATCTGCAGCAGGCACAGGGGACCCTGAGCTCTCAAGGTCTAGTCTTTTCTCTATCCATGACCTCACTGGGACCTCAGCTTCCTGTCACACAACTGGACTAGGTCCTGCCTGGCTCTCAGTGTCCCAGGCTCCTCGTCCCCAGCAGAAAGAGGACTGTGGCTGGTGGGGCTTTGAGTCCACTCAGCCCAGCTTCTGTCGCACTCCGCTCCAGCTACAATGTTCCTAGAAACACCGGGCACATGCAGGTCTCAGTCTTTGTCCTTTCTGCCCCTCCCATGGGACACTTTCTCCAGGCTGTTCACTGTCACCTCATCAGAGTGCCTCCCCAGGAGCCGGTCTCTGCCCGGCCCCTTGACCTCTCTCATTTACACGGCACTTCTTACACTCTGTCTATTGACCGTGTTATCACTCCCAGGAGAACATGTCCCCCACAAGGCCCCAGAACCTTACAATCCATGACTATTACATAAACAAACATTGACTATCACTTGAGTTTTATGTGGCTACCCCTCTCTAAGCCTCAGTTTCTTCATCTATAAGATGGGGATATGAATGAGATCACCAACAAAGATGCAGAACCTGAAACCTTAGCTGGGCTCATTCAGGGTGTCCTGCCAGGGCCACAGTGCATGCAAGAGGGAGACACACAGACTGGTCAGCAAAAGTGAACTCTTACCACGCTTGTGGGGCCAGCAAAAGTGAACTCTTACCACACTTGTGGAGCCAGCAAAAGTGAGCTCTTACCACGCTTGTGGAGCCAGCCTTCCTTGATGACAGACACCTCATTCATGGTGGCGGCATTAACACGCTGTCACCTAGCTTGGGACAGCTCAGGGCAGCAGGACATGCAGGAAGCGCCTCGGATACAGTACAGTCTACAAGAGAGAAGAGATGAGCTGTGAGGGTGGGGGCCCATCCTGGGTTCGGAGGTCCTTTGACTCTGTAGCTGGCCAGGCAGCGGGGATAGCCAGGGAGCCAGGGAGAGTTCTTCCCTTGGGGCCCAATCCTGAGGGAGAAACATGGGTCCCAAAAGAGCCGAATGTGTACAGGCTCTGCACCAAAGTCTTCCCTAAGCCATGAGGTGGTGGCTCATGCCTTTAATCCCAGCACTTAGGAGGCAGAGGCAGATGGATCTCTGCAAGTTCAAGGTCAGCCTGGTCTATAGAGTGAGTTCCAGGACTGTCTAGAAACAAACAAACAACAAACAAAAATATCAAAAATCAAATTTCTTCCCTTCACACAGGAAGAGAACAAGGGAGCTGGAGCCCCACCTCCCGCCTCACCCCAACGCCCCAGCACTGAGGTAATCCAGGATGAATCAGACAGCCCTGGGCACCTAGGGTGTGCTCAAAGCCACCAGCATCTGCCTGCCCCCAAGACAGACAGACTCATGCACACACTCATGTCTTTCCAAATCAACCTGCCACCTTAAGCAAACAAAGTACTGCTTCCCCCAAGTACAGGGAAGTCCGTATCATCCCCAGCTTCTGTTTCCTCCCTGTTCCCACCACACAATGAGGAAAACACAAGTCGCAGAAGCTCTAGCACTTGAGGGAACCTACTGCACACACACTTGTCCGGAGCCTACAGGCCAGTCCTGGGGTCTGACCAAGGTTCTGGTCCCTTCTCCAAGACCTCTGCATCTGTCCTCAGGGACTAACAGCCAACAGACTAAGGGACGCCGAAGCTGCTGCTGAGTCTCAGGTTCCCTGAGCAGAGGGGGGGAGGACAAATGTGGGCAGCCACCAGCTGGGCCCTTACCTGGAAGCCTGGGCCTGGACTGGGGCCATGGAGCCCAAAGTGCCTTGTGCCTGCCTCTCCCAGCCCAGGGTTATTTGCGGACAGCAGGTCAGGAGCTACAGAGGCCCCTGGAGAAGTGGCAGCTGGCTCTAGGGACACCACGGGCATCAGCTTTCTCTCGTGCCCCAGGGGAGCTGGTGGGCTGGACACAGTACTGCCTGGCATGTGACAGTGGCAGGCTGCCCAGGTCCTGGGCAGAGGGGAGGGAGGTAAGTGGGAAGGAGTGAGGGGAAGGCGAGGTGGCCGAAGACGGGGAGGAGAGGAGAGTGTGAGGTCACAAGCTGGACTCCAAGCTGCAAAGGCAACGAAGGAATGTGCGGCCGAAACAGTAACATGGGCACCCCCACATGCAGACCCCAAACCCACAGGCGCGCAGGGGCCCTCAGCTCTACACACCCCACCACTGTCAACCTTCCCTCTTCCTCTCTATGCTGGCTGCCACGATCCTAGTCCACATGCTCCTGGAGTCTTACCTCCCTGCCCCAACTCAGCAGCCAAACGGACCCTCAAAATCAGTCCATCTTAAGCCAAGCATGGTGGCGCACGCCTTTAATCCCAGCACTCAGGAGGCAGAGGCAGGAGGATCTCTGTGAGTGCCAGGCCATCCTGGTCTCCAGAGTGAAATCCACGAGAGTTAAATAGATTCTGTCCTTCCTCAGTTCAGAATCCTCCATGGCTCCCATATCCTTGGTAAAAATGCCCAAGGCCTCAGCATGGCACTCAAGGCTGACCTGCCTCCCTGGCTCATTCCAGCAGCTGTCTGCTGGCCCACCCTTGTGCATGCTCCCTCCCAGCCCCCCCCCATCCCTCCATTGACGCCTGACCTTGTCCTTCCATGTCAAACCCTTCACAGCTCCCCAATGTGTTTAGGAAACAGGGCAAAGTCCTCCCTACAGCAAAGGGGCCGTGTGAGTGGCTCCTGAACCAAGAAAGCAAGGGCGCTCGCACCATCATGGCAGGAACTGCTCGGGTTTCCAGCCTCCCTGCTTACACTTTCTGGTCTCAATCTCCAAAGCTGCACTGGGGACAGCTCTATACCCTTTGGGCAACCCCCCCCCCCCACACACACACACTCACTAACACTACTGCAGTGGGCCAGCCTGGCACTGACACTGCAATGAATGAGCTGATTCTCACCAACAGGCCGAGCTGCAGAAACACCTAACTATGCCCACACCCCCAGTCTTCCAGGAGTGTGTCCTAGGCACCAGACACTGGAGAACAACTCACATTCTCAAGCGGGAAGACAGAAGGACACACACATACCCCACAGAACAATGTCAGCGGAAGGAAATAAGGAGGAAATAGCAGGAATGGTGCCGGGTAGCTGCAGCGCAGGGCACAGGTGAGCAAAGCCTCAAGTAACCACTACACGACAGTCAAGAAAGTGGCCCAGGGAAAGAATCTCAGGCCAGACAACAGAAAATGGAAAAGCTCTAGGGCAGGAGCAGAGAGCAGGGGCAGCCAGAGGGACTGCTTAGGGCCTAGGGTCAAGGGCCCAAAACAAAAAACCAAACTGTCCCCAGCTTTGGGTCAGTCATAAATACTTCCTAGTGAGCTGGGAACTAAGAGCCCAGAGCAATGTCACCTCTTGAAGCCCCCCCCCCCCAGACCCAGGAACAGCAGCACTAAAGCACCTAGTGTGAGCAGAGGGCCTGGGGCCTGATAGCAGTAGCACTAAAAAAGTACCTCGTGTGAGCAGAGGGCATGGGGCCTAATAGCTAGCTGCTGTTGTTCAAAGATGCATGAAGGCAACCAGGTGTGGCCAAGAATGGTCAGTGTTTCCAGAGTCTGAGAGCCACTGCCAACCTGGTGGCCTTAGGCAGGGCACTGGAGCTCCCAGTATCCTACCAGAGGGGCTGCACCATGCCCAAGTGAGGACAGAGGCTCAGCGAGGGGAAGCCATTTACCTTGGGTTTCCCAGTTGAGTGGCAGGAGCCCTGGCCACAGCTCCACACACCAGAGTCACTGTTTATAGTTCCATTTCAGCAACTAAGAAGTCAGCAGCACAGCCCAGCAGGCAAGAGCAGGGGAGGAATTGGAAGATCCCCTGCGTCCTGCCTGGCTCCAGCCGTCCTCCCACTAAGGGTGGCGCCTCAGCCGAGGTGTCTGTGACGCAGTCCTGCGGTGATGAAATTCCAGGCAGCACAGCCAAGGGGATGGCCTGCTCACTGAGGAGCTGCAGGCTGAGGACACCGGGAAGGGGACCCGAGAGCTGCCTGTGGAACTCAGGAGCACGTGGAGACCTGTCCTGACTACCCTTCTGCACCACACACCAGCAGGGAGTCCTTGTATGGCTCCATCGCCCACTAGCCTAGCCGCTGCTTCCCAGAATGCCACATTTGAGTGTGCTGACGGCTAGGGCTGGGACTGCAGCTGATCCCAGCTAAACACAAGCCACTTGGGAAGCCAGATGAAAAGAACAAGGATCCCCCACAGGAAAGGGTGCTTAAACAACACACACACACACACACACACACACACACACACACACACACACAGAGGATTCACACAACTTGCTAAAA